AGTCCACCGAAGGCTTTGGGGGACTATTTATAGGTAATATTGTGGTAGTTGTATACTGTGGAAGTTAGGTTGCTACAGTATCACTACAGTAATGCCTGGTGGATCTTTCGTTGGTGAATAGTATAGCTAGGTTACTGCTGAAATGGTGGCTAAGGTAGATAGCTGCTAACTTTAACAATCCCCCTCAGCAGCGACTTCTCTATCCACAAGTCCAAGTTGACTTCGAAGTTTTGCAAACTTTGAAGAACTCAATGTTTTGGTGAATATGTCAGTTATTTGTTCGTTTCTCCCAATCTACTTCATTACGATCTCCTCCTAAAGAACTTTCTCTAGTAGAAAGTGATGATGATGTACTTCGTTGTGCTTCGTCCTAGCATGAAAAATTGGATAATCTGAATCAATTGAATTGCAAACTGATTATCATAATATAAAGCTACCGAGTAATCTATAGACTGATGTAGATCCCTCATTAATTGAAAAAACAAAGTTCTTTCCTAAGCTGCCATCACTTCTGATCTGTACTCCGCCTCTATAGTTGATAGTAACACCGTTGACTATCATTTGCTACACCAAGATATAGCTGCTGAACTGAGACTAAACATGTATCCAACAGTAGACCTCCGAGTGTTATGATCTTCAGCATAGTCAGCATCACAATAGCCATAGACCTCACATTCTTATCCTTTCTTATACATGAGAATGTAGTTAATCGTGTTGACCTTCTTGTTTTGATGATGATTTACAAATAATTTACATCTAATATTGTTTGTCTAGTGTTTGTGTCTTATATTTATTCTAGGCAAACAATATGCTGGAGGTTGGATGGAATTACGCTTTCACGATCATATCCAATGGAGGTTAGCAGAATTGTGGTATGAAGCCTACGCAATTCAAAGTTAAAGATTCAAGTTCAAGCTTCATCCACAAGTATACCAAGTTGAGCTACATCGAAGATCAATCAAGCTTGAGTATATTTAGTTTAGGTTTTATATTATGTGTGTTAGTACTTTAAGCATATACATACATGGTTTTGAGTTTTCAAGTTTTAATATGAAACAATTGAATACAATTGAAAATACATTTATTGTTTCATCCTTACATGCATATATATGATTTCATCAATAGCAATTTTATTTAGTTCAATGAAATCATGTTTTAGTGCATTATATGTGTATTTTGATAAAATACTATATTCATTGTTTATATACTTCATAACAATAGTTTACATCTTTCTTCAAGTCTATAAAATCATTTTGTATTATTTCAAAACATGGTTAAGCTAAAATGTCAAAACTCATATGTTCATATTTTCATGTTTTGGACTATTTTGCAAAATGATGATATTTTTCATTTGGGAGGTCCTTTTTGAAAACCAATTTTTGTAGTATGTTTATTATCATGTCTACAATCATTTTCCAAAGTTTTACATATTTCTAAATTTATTTGATATTTTTAAACAGGGTTTTAAAATCATCAAACTGCTTCTAAACCTGTTATTTCTTATATCTGTTTGCGGTCGACCGCCACGGTCGACCGTGACTGTGATTTTCCCTTAGTAGCCAACAGAGACTTTCGCGAATCGTCAATCTGAAAATTCCCACGGTCGACCGTCACGGTCGATCGTAAAAGTTTTTGGAAATTTTCTCAGACTCGAAAGTGGCTCGCAGTCGACCGCGAGAATTCCACGGTCGATCGCCGTTCACCCCAACGATCATTTTGGTACAGAATCAGATTTCTGATTCTTGGGCTTTTTTGGTCTTTTCCTTTGGGGTTTTTGGCTGAGGTTTTGGGAGCCTATAAATACCCCCCTTGCTCTCATCTTTCAAGCATAAAAAAAAGAAGTTTTTAAACAAGGTTTAATAAGGGTTTAAGCTTGTTTAGTTTGTTTTAAGTTTGGGATTTTTTATTAACAAAGGAGGAAGCTTACATTGCAAATTGAGGGATTCATCCTCAGTCTTCTTCATCCTCTCCTTTGTGTTTATAGATAAGTTTTTCTACCTCTTTTTTCTAGCATTTTTATTATTGATTTTTATATTCTTATTAATGCTAGTTTGCTATTTGAGTTAGATTTTATTTCACTCATTGTTTACACACACCCACTTGAGCTTATCGTATTTTCATACATAGTATATTTGGGTTGGTGAGAGTTGTAACAATTGAGTGTGAGCTTACATTGTGTTCTCATCCATATTAGAGAACAATCATTTGTTGTATTCGTACTTAATTGTGAGATTTACTTTGTAATACACTTGTACACCGAGAGAAGTGTGTGGTGTAAGTCAAGGATAGTCCTAAGAGGAGTAGCGTCGGTTGACGAACCTAGAGAGAGGTAGTATCCGAGCTCTTGAGGGAGACACGTCTAGGTCCAAAACTTGAGAGGGTGTAGAGTGGGATTGCAAGAGTGGTGATTGTAAAGTTTTCGTTTAGCTAGAAAACCGAGTGTGAGGTGTAAATTAACGTTGTTCGGGTAAGCGTAGAAAACCCGGTTGTGATAGTGGATTTCTCCCGGTGAGTGGGGAGCGGAGACGTAGGATGGAAGGTCCGAACTCCGTGGTCATATTGTGTGTTTGCATTGTTTATTTACTCTATTACTTTTACTTTTTTATGTTTATTTCACCCTTGCATTAGTTTATATATCCTTGCATATATTTCATCGTATACCTCTTTGCTAGGATATATCTCTTTGTTCATATTGCATATTCTTGCTCATATCATATTGTATATCTATCTTACAAGAATAATATTTGAATTAGTTTTAATTGGCATAAAATCGGATTAGATTAGCATAAGACCCTAATCACACCCCCTCTCGGGTCTAACAATTGGTATCAGAGCTTGGTTCTCTTTGATTTAAGGTCTAATCGTCTGGAGTTAAAGATCTAAGTTATCTTTTTGTGCTAATCCAATTTTGAGATTTTTGTTATCTTGCTTGCACATATATACTATATTATGGACATACATTGTGCATCTTGTTTAGGCTATGATCCTAATGTTGCTCCTAAAATAGATAATCTCCCCTATGACAAATGGTATTCTAGATTTAACATATTTGTGAGATCTAAACAATTCGATTTATGGGAAGTTATTAAAGATGCTTATATTGTACCCACTTCAGAAAAATTCAAGTGGAGTAAAAATGATAAAAGAATGTTTAATATGAACAAGCTTTTGTTAGAATATTTGCTTAATGATTTTGACTCATCCTTTTCTAACAAATTTGTTCATTTTGATAGTGCTTACACTTTATGGAAATTTATTGAAGCACATCAATATGACTTGGAGGAGATTCGACGCGTTGTGGCGGAATCGACTTCAAGTTCATGTGGAGCCTCATCATGCACACGGCCACTAGGCGATAGCCCTAGTGTGGTAAGCGATTTGAAATCCGAATGTGATTTATCTATTAATGAACTCGCTTGTGCATATGATAGTTTAATGCATACCTATACTAAGTTGCATAATATTTTTATTGATCTTAAAAGCAAACATGTAGATTTGAAATCCGATCATGAGGCTCTAGCTTCCAAACTTGATATTGTTGTTA